CCCATTTGACCCAGCTCTTTCCCTGCTGGGGATCTTCCCCAAAGAATTAAAAGAATCATACCACAGTGATATATGTGCACCATGTTTATAGCAGCACAGTTTGTAATAGCTAAAACTTGGAAACAGCCCAGTTGCCCATCAACTAGAGACTGGATAAAGAAAATGCGTTTTTTAAAAAATATAAAATGGAGTAGAACTCAGCCATAAAGAATGAGAAATTAGAGACATTTATAGCTAAATGGATGCACATTGAGGTGATACTCTTAAATGAAGTAAATAGGGCACACGTGTAAATACCAAATAGTTTCTCTAGTGTGAGAAACTGAAAGCGTAGATAAGGACTAAAAAGTATAATAGATAATGTGAAATAGGAAGAAAAGGGGCAAAAGGGAAGGGGAAGTGGGAGGGCTAGGGGAAAGGAAAGAAGGGAATGGAATTAATATCGCAAAGTGAAAAATGGAAACAAAGTCTTTGTAAATAGGGAGGGATGGAGGGGTTGAGGGAGGGCGGGGGAATGGGGAAAAAAATAAGAACCAAGAGTATGTAAAGGTGCATATCTCCAATGATGAATGTCATTATATTGTATACCTAAAATGTACCAATAAAATAATATTTTAAAAAGAAGAAAAGATTTTGCCCCTCAAAATAGTCTCTGGGTAATAATACCTTTTTATAAAACTTCCAGTTTGTTCCTGTAAAGGCATTTTTAATTCTGCAAATGGTTTTTATTAGGCCCCATGATGGGTCCTGGATTATGTTATTCTATAGAATAGACAAACTCTCTCAACCTTAGTATAAAAATGTTGGAACGATTCATACGTGGGTGGTTTTTAATAAAGGTATTTAATAAAATTCCAGTTATTTAATGAAACTAGCACTCATTGTGAAATAGAAAATGATTTGAAAATAATTTAAGAAAATGAATGAAAAGTTTAAACCATATCCTATGTCCATGTAAAGCATATATCCTTAGATGAAGTTACTAGCTGAACTCTTTTGTATCTCAACTTTCATATGCACTATCTTACATAAAATTGGGCACCCTGCATACTGAGAGTTTGAGGAATGCCCATTTAAAAAGAGTGGAAAAAGAGAGAATATCTATTTTCATCTCATCTCAACAAAATCTTGTCAAACATGAACTTTTAATGGAAAATCAAAATAGGCAAATTTAAGCTACAAAAGAGAGCCATGAAGGAATGGAGATGGAGCTCAGTGGTAGAATCTTGCCTAATTCACACAACTCCCTTGGTGGGTTTTATTTATTTATTTATTTTGTAACTCTTGTCTGTAAATTTTAAGCCCAGTTATATAATTCTGTGTAACAAGATCATCTTTGACATTCAGAGTGGAAAGTTTCTGTAGCTGCACCCAGCTGTACTGTTTGATATGAAAACATGAAAGAGATTCAGAACAGTTTTTCAAAATTCTCACATTTATTCATTTGTTAAAAATTTAAACACCTAAAAACCCCACAAATTTAAACGCCTTTTACTTTAAAGGACATGATACTATAGTGTCACCCAGTGGCTTGTAAAATAAGTCTTAAAATTTAAAACTGTTTTGGCAGACTGTCTTGTTTTACTGTTATTTCAGACCTTTTAAATTATTCAAAAGATATTGTTGAACACTTATGTGTAAAAAGGGTGCTACCATTCCAAAAATAAGTCCAAAAATAGTCCTCACAATTAGAATCTATTTTTGTTTTTGTAATATAATTTTAACTGTTAAACTAATATTAAAAGATTGAAACTATCCTAATCCCCTAATTAGAGCAATCTGTTTTTAAACTAGTTACACAGCTACTAGATTGGTATACCTTTTTTTTTTTTTTTTAGTGTAGCCTTTTGGTAAACAATGCAGTAGTTATTATATCTTTATCTATTTAGTTTCCTTATTGCCTGACTTCTTACCCAAAAAGCCTCTTCATTGTTGAATACAATTTCCATAATATTGCTGTATTTTGAAATCAATATCAGGTGTGAAAAACAACTTTGGGCAAAGCTTTTTAATTTGTACAACTCACCTTTATTTTTACACTGTCATAATTTCTTCTATTGATATGCCTGGGCGTGTAACTTCCATTATATTTCAAGACATAATTTCTTGATTTCATCCTCTTAGATTCATTTGGCTAGAGGTATCAGAATTCCATTGTATTGATGATACACATGCATGCGTTTCTCACTAATAATCTAACTTTTAAAAATAGACACAGTACAACAGGACAGTTCAGTGGTTATAACTGGAGCTACTTTTAGGAGCAGTATTTCTGAGCTGTTAGGGTCCTTTTGACTTGCCTTGCCTTCTGAGCTTTATAAAGTTTAGCTGAAGAAGAGCAGGAGTTTAATTTATTTCCCACTCTGTTTCCTCTAGTAATCTCTATTATGTCTAGGAATTAAGTATATAAAAACTAGAAACCTGATGCGGTAGTGTATGCCTGTGATCCCAGTTACTTAGGAGGCAAAGGCAGAAGGATCACAAATTCAAGGCCAGCCTGGGTGACTTAGTGAGACTCAATCTCAAAATAAAAAGAGCCAGGACTGTAGCTCAGTGGTAGAGAGCTTGCCTAGCATGTGCAGGCTCCTAGGTTTGCTCCCTAGCACTGGGAGAAAAAAACAAAAAACAAATAGTTGATGAGAAGGAAAAATGAGGTTTAGAACATTGAAATAAATGCCTGTGGAAAATGAAACCTTCAGCTATTTCAGATATGGCTCATTAGTACAAGTTTTTTTTGTGTGATCTTTGTAGGATCAAATGTGCAATTACTGACTTGGGTGTTTTAATGATTTCTTTTTATGCTGCTTTGTATTTTCACGAAGTTGTATGCCAAGTGTCTAGCAGTTTATTAAAATTTATCTAAGAGTAAAGTCTGTCATAAGATTTACTTATAAGTGCTACCATAAACAAATCTATGAAAACACTGCCATTGTGTGGTTTTGGGTGTCACAGGTCTCAGGTTGTAACAGAGCAATCTTGGAAATTAGGGTTGAAGCAAAGTAGATTTCCTGACAGAGTTGAAGATCAATATCAGGATACTACTAGCATTTTCTAAAGTTTAATTTTTATGTATGAATTAAGTCAGCACAAAGATGAAGGAATTAATTTTATAAATATGATGAGCTAGTTAATTCGTTTATTGTGAATTAAGTCAGTATACAAATGAAAGAATGAATTTTATGTGTAGATAGATGAATTAGTTAAGTTGAAAGACTGTCCATTTCAAGAGTAAAGATTTATTAACTGTTAAAAATGTTTTCTTAGGATTGTTCTTTTTGTACTTAATACTTACTTTGTTAAATTAGAGCGCTAGTAAGATACCTCGATTTTTTTTTTTTTTTGGTACTGGGGATTGAACTGGGGTCCTTGCACTTGCACAGCAGGCGGCGAAACCACTGAGCTAAATCCCCGGCCCTCAATTTTTATATATATCATCTTTAATACTGTAAGTGCCCTTGAAACATCCTGACTAGATGATCATCCTTTTAAATTGTCTTTAAATAGAAAAAGTTACGCCGATCACAACATGCTCGCAAGGAAACGGAGTTCTTAAGGCTCAAGAGGACTAGGCTTGGCTTGGATGACTTTGAGTCTCTGAAAGTTATAGGAAGAGGAGCTTTTGGAGAGGTGAGGTTCTTTTCAGTTTACCATGGTTGAACACATTTATCTTAAGATAGTTTAAAATATCTATTAAAATACACTTCCTAAGATAATCCCAATGGTAAATTCTGTCTTTAAAACAACCTACTTTTCATTCTTGAATGTATAGTATAGTAGCCTAGACTGTTTAACATTTACTGTGTGTGTGTGTGTGTGTGTGTGTGTGTGTGTGTGTGTACATTCTTTTTTTTTCCTGTACCGGGGATCAAACTCAGGACCTTACACTTGTGAGGCAGGCAGCAGCACCACTGAGCGAAATCCCTGGTCTGACAATATATATTTATGTTTTTATCCTAGGTGAGGCTAGTGCAGAAGAAAGACACAGGCCATGTCTATGCAATGAAGATACTGAGAAAGGCTGATATGCTTGAAAAGGAGCAGGTATGGGGCCTTCTACACATGCAGTGCAAAGGGACATCCATGGCCAAGTTTTAGAATAAGTGCTTACATTGGACTTTTAAATAAGGAATCTTACTATTAATGTTAGTAGCCCATTTTAGTGTTTTCCAGTTCTCATATTTGAAATGTCTCCAAATTCATAATCCATGTGTTAGTCTACTCAGTCTGGTATGACAGAATTCCATGTCTGGGTGGCTCAAAGGACAGAAACTCTGTTTTCTCATGGTTCTGAGGGCTGGAAATCCTACAGTGATGCTATGCTGGGGCTTGGCTTCTGGTGAGGCCTCTCCCTGACTTGCAGATGACCTTTCCTTGGTGAGTACAGGGAGAGAGAGAACACCCATGTTCACATGAGAACTGTTTTTCTTTTTGTTTTTTCCATTGAATTTATTGGTACATTTTAGGAATAAAATACAGTCACATTCATCATTGGGATCTTGTACCATTATATGAGTATCTTGGTTCTTATTTTTTCCCCTTCCCCTGCCCTCCCTTCACCCCCTCCACCATTCCCTATTTGCAAAGACTTTGTTTCCATGTTTTTCCCTTTTCTCATATTTTTTCTTTTCCCTTCTTTCCTTTCCTTTCCCCTACCCCTCCCACTTCCCCTGCTCC